TGTGTGTGTGTGTGTGTGTGTCTGTGAGTGTGTGTGTGTGTGTGCTTGTGATCATTTCAATGCCAATAGAATTTGGAGTGGCAAAATGAAGCTCCATCTGCGAATGATTTCCAGATCAGCTCCAGCGAGCCCGCTTGTGCTCGAGACTAAGCTGCTCTCTTCTCTCTTTTTTCTCGGTCATTACACACGTTTTCCCGGAAAGCTGAACCGTCGGACTCGCTGCGTTTATGCTGAAGAACCCGAAACAGACACACGCTTAAGGAAAACGCTGTGTTAAGAATGGTATTGTGCTTTTTTTAAACTCTACCGAAACTGCTGGCGTTGCTCCACGTGGGCCTCATAATAACCTCTCGTTGGCATCAATGGATTCAAAACCAACAGCAAGGCATTAATGTCAAATATGCCTCACATTTCCCAGCATTCGTCGTAAATCTGTCATTATTTCACACATTAAAACTGCCAACAAAGATGAATTGTGATGAATATTCGGTGTTTCTAAAGCGCGCACACAGGCTTGCATATATATTTCTAGAGTTATTTCTGTTTAAATCGCATGCATTTAAAATGTAGCCGGTTGACACACTATTTTGTATTGACAAATATGATTTTACTGGCGTTTGGCATATCCGCAGAAAGAGTTGATTTTTAGTTAATTTGATTGTTTTTGGCATTTCTCCTAATTTGAGCCCAAAGACTAAAATGACACAATGTATATCTGCTGTTAACTGCGCCGTCACACTCTTTGCACGTGAAATAAAATGGCATGGTGCTCAGAAAGCTCAGGTGTGAGTGTGCATTTCAGCTCTCCATCCATCAGAACAGATCCTGAGACGAGCTCATCTTCATCCTGAGAGACAGTCCTAAAGCAGAGCATCAGTGCTGCACTTACAGTCTCACTGTTTGATGGAGAGCTGCTTGCCTCTTCATTTCTAGCTTGCAAGAGAACAGCCCAGAATCACATCTGTCGGATTTATTATTAAACAGACGCTTAAAGCATATCTCGCACGAGGACGTTTATTCTAATAATCACTCAGTTCCGAGAATAATTCGGTATGTCGGAATAACCACAATAAACAAAGCGAAATGCAAGCTATGCTGATATTTTTATTGAAATAGAATTCATGCATTTACATACACAACTGTTAAATAGAATTAGCTCTGTAATTATAGACTAGGGTAGCCTAATATGTAATGAGCTGAGGCTTGTTCTGATCATAAAACAAAGCGTTTGAAACGCCCGACAAAACATTAAATCATAACCCCGATATTATTAGTTTCAGAATTAGTATTTTTGAACAGGGCGGTGATGGTTGTACAGTTTGAGTTTATGGTTTGCATTGTTTATAATCTCAATGGCTTTATTGCTGTTACGAATTTCAGTAATTTTATTATGCATTTGTCTCCAATACATATCAACGAGGCTAAAATGCGTCACCTAAATGTGGACAGAAGCTTTATATGTTGATCTGAAATATGGATTCAACTTTAAAGCACATGCATGACAGCCTAAAATAAATAACATGCATGCATCAAAACACTCGATCGCAGATGAACTACGGTTTTGCTCAGAGGAACGCATCGAATTTACAGCGTTTGTAAATGTGGATTTAACGATTATGTTGTGACTCTTCTTTGCTGTTTAGTGTCAGGCTTACACTGTAATTGAATGACTCCAGTGGGCTCATGTCACGGGTCATTCATTTCATGCTTTTACTTTGAGGACTGGCAGCTCATAAAATACGAGAAACACGACTGAAATTATGCTTCATATGTTTTAATGTTTGATTTCTTTTTCATTAAACAAAACACGTTACACTGATATGAATACATACAAGTCGAGTAAACGCTGAGACTTCACTGCTCACTTATTGAGGCCAACAAAACAGTATTTTGCGAACATTTTGAACAGTGTGGGGGAAAGCGTCAGTGCGGTACCGAGAGCACGATCCGCGCAGAGTAACGACATCAAGTGCTGCTTTCCAACCAGAACAAACATGTTTGGATAAAAACCGACATTTTCCATACATTCTGAAACAAATCCTAATGGTGTTTTATATGCAGTAAAACTCATATAGTAGCCTACTAGTCAGAAAGAAAGTCAGTTTCGGCCCGAATTCGAATGCGCTTCTGTGAATAAATCTCCCGGTTTTGGCTCCTCGGTCGGTGGGCTCCAGGCCCGGCTCCAGAATCAATCACTTGAGGGTGCTTCTCAAATTAATGAGGGTGCTCTAACCTTAATATATCTATAAAGGTTTTATAAAGGTGCCGTGCATTGCTATGGCGCAACAAGCTGTTTACAATCTCTAAAAATCACTCTTAATTCATCGCGATCTCACAAAGTTGAAGTGCTCTGAACTTCATGAATCCGCTGAGTGGATTCGAACATAACACTCTGATTGGCTGTTGGCTTCAAGAAATCAACAGATAGCCTATGCTGCATTGCTCAACGCTGCAAACCATAACACACTGGATAGTTTGCCCAAATCTGCGATGAAATGCCATGAATGCAGCTTTAACTGAGCGTGCTATTGATTTCGTTCGAGCACCCTCCAGCACCCCGTAGAACCGGGCCTGGTGTGTTCAGTTAATGAATGTCTTTAGTAGAATAAATAGTGTAAGTCCCGGTGTCACTGGCTTCCCGTGCATGCGGAGGACAGGCTCCAGGCGGGAAGGCAGTAGGTGTAGGGGTAGTAATAGGAGAGCAGCGGCGGACGGAGCAGGTCTCCGGGGCTGTACTGTCGC